CCAGATTCAGCCACTGTTGAAACTGATCAGTTTCAGCAGCGGCTGAATCTGGACGCCAGTTCCGACTTACATACAGATTCAACTTAAGAACAAACCTACAGTCCCTATCTTGTACGTAACCCGGGGACTGCCTGTATGTCAGACTATAGGAAGGGGGGGCTATGAGGGGTCTGGGGTGCAGTGGGGGGAATGCGCCCCTCGGCGCTGCGGGACCAACCCGGCAGCACCCCAGCTGCTCTGCCCCAGACCCCTCTGCCCCGAGCTTCCCGGAGTCAGCTGCTGGTCAGTTTCAGCAGTGGCTGAATCGGGAAAGCCAGGGGCAGAGCAGGTCCAATGGTTGCCGGACCATCAGGAGTGCCGGACCATTGGATGCCGGACCACTGGAGTTTTACTGTAATATAGTGCTGTTTGCTTCAAGCTCTCTTCAATCGGTTTTCACATATACCTTGAAAAGAACAGATCTTTTCAGCTTGCTATATTTGAGGGATCTTGTGTCCACCATAATCTTCTGGAATCTGTCTGTTCTACATTTTTATTGTGATACCTTTTTATTGTGTAATATTGAAAGTGATTTCCTGTACTTTTCCACCCAGAGCTCATTGCAACAGCATGAGGATAACACTAAGGTGACCATGGGGGCAAAACGTAGACCCATTCAACACATCTAATGTGGACATACTGCTAAACTGTCATTGCTTAAACCAGTTCAGTTACAAACTGTTCCCCTAAAACACTGGCCTTGATTCTTTTACAACATAATTCTGTATACTGCTAATTAAAAATGGAACCTCTTCACTTTAGTTAAAAAAAAAGGATAAACTCAGGGAATATCTTACCATTAACTAAATAATGAGATGCTGCTAAGAAGATTAATAATATTCATATTTGTACCGTGCTTAAGTAATTACTTATATTATTACAATATACCCTAACTTCAGCTGATACTAAGGCCCTCCCAGAAGCTGTTCTTGGTGCAGCAAGCAATGGTTTTTCTTCTGATAAGAAACATTTAACTTAGTTGTCAAACAAACTAAAGGTCTTCTTTAACTTCAAAAACAGAATGGGGTATGGCCATTTTCTCACAGAAAAAGCTTCTGTTATGCTCACAGCTTTGATTTTGTGACACTTTAGGACATTAAAGGCATCTTCAGTGGAAGATGTGTAATTGTGGAACTTGCTCCTATAGGAGATTAGAGTACATACATGAATGGTACTGCCATGACCTGGTCTACATTGGAGAAATTAAACCAGTTAAAGTCTGTAGTATTGTTAGAGACTTTACAAAGATCCCCACTTTACAAAGATCCCCACACAAAAGCACTCCAAATGATCAACAAAAGATCTAATAGAACAAACTTTCTTCAGCAGATGTAACTGGGTAATGTTCATCTGGTTCAGACTGAACTAATTTAATAGCAGTGTGGCTGAAGACATGTTGAAGCTTGTCCTCCTCCTGGTACAGACCCACAATGCACTAGTGCTCTTGCAGAATCACCAAGCTCCAGAGTGCATTGCTTTTAGAAGCAGAACTAGAAATCCAGCATCCAGCGTCACTGACAGTGAAATTATTTAGGGCAGAGCAAATGTGGACGTGGAGCAAAACTTTTCAGCATGTCAGGCCAGATGCCTTTTTCTGCAGCCCCATTAGGACAGCAGCAACCATGAGCTAAGGAGCAGAAAGTCATAGTTCCCTGTAGGGTGCATGCCTGCCCATCTCCTTTGCAGAGCCACACAGCAGCACTCACTATCCATCTAGAAGGTGAGTGGCGTGGCGGGAGACTACTCTGGGCTGGGGCCAGCTGAGGCCTCGTGGTGAGGGGCTGCTCCAGCAGCTGGGTGGGGCCTCATGGCAGGTCAGGAGCTGCTTCGGTGGCTGGGCCCTGCTCAGGGGCCTGCTGCGGCCACCTGGCAGGGGCTGAAGCCTGCTCCGGCAGTCGGAGACCAGGGCTTATCCTGGCCACATGGTAGGGAGGCCGGGGCCTGCCCCAGTGCCTGGGGCTGCATGGCAGGGAGCTGTTCTGGTAGCCAAGGCTGCTCCTGGAGCCAGCTCCAGCCCTTACCCAGGGCTGGAGCTTTGGCCAGGGTTGCAAAGTGACTTCCCGACTGCTCCCTGGACTAGCCATGTGGCGGCTGCTGTGGTGCGGCCGCTCCAGGGACTGGGGCCTCCTGTATCTCTCTTCCCTCCCCCCGCCAAGTTCTCTTTTGCCCCTCAGAGCTACCTGCCCCTACCTTCTGTTCCCCCCCACACACACTCCACACATGGCACTGCCCCACCCCCAGCACCTCACTCCCTGCAAACCCTGGGCACTGGCAAAAGCTTCCCTCTGCCCCGCAGAGCTGCCCACGGAGCAGTCCCTGCCCTGCACACAGGCTGCCCATGGAGCACACATGACCTCATTGTTGGCACATAAGACAAAACTCACTCTGCTTGTGGATGGAAAATCTTAGTGGGGAACACTGCTCACAGTCCATCTTAACTGCACCAAAACTTTGTAATATCGGGCTGTCAGGAATACACTCCTGTCCTACCAGTTCCCCACCACCAACGGATAAAGAAACAAATCTTAAGATGTTTAAAGAAAACTTGATAGCCTTCTGTGTGGCAAGGAATCACTTAACAGTTGTGATTATGAAATCTACACTTCCTTATTGTTTTGCTCTTAAGGTCCTCCCTTCTCTATTGTCTATCTGTATGATTTCTGTCTGATTTGTTGATTGTTTCTCTCTGTTATATAATTAATTTTGCAAGATTTCAATCAGCCATGGTGGTGAGGTACAACTGATTAAAGGATTGTTTCGTAATGGGGTAGGATCGGTGGAAAAATACTGTTTTGTCGCACTTTAAACAATTAAAAGGAAGCGCTTCAGAACTATACTCCATAACACAGTTCAAGAGATCAGAGCTGTCCAACCTTAACAGCCTGCCAGCTACATCATGCAGAAACTGGAGGAACCCCAGATGACCTGATCCTGAGTGGCTACCAAGAAAAGTTCATCTGCCTTATTCGGAGTGATGAGCATTGTATGAATAGTGTGTGTATTGTATGAATAGTATGTGTATTCTGCTTATTATGGTGTAAGGCTCTTTCAGTGGCGTAAGCCCCGCAAACCCCTGGAAGATTAGATCTGAGCCCAGGGAACTGGACAACGGCAGAGGCCTAGGAACTGGGGGGGAATGGGACTGTCTAAATTAATCATGGTATGCCTTGAGCCCACAGAAGGGTAAAGGTGGGGGACCCCAGAGCATGCAGGTAAGAAGCATGGGTAATGTGGACACACTAAACAGTTTAAACTTAAGATGGTTTAATAAATTAGATACATTACAAATGGGTCAACTCTCCAGAATACACCAGATAAGTAAACTTTAGGAAGCTTCCCAAACAACCTTTTTGCAAGATATTTCACATGGATGGACTCAACCACTGTAATACGCTGGCTGAAAAAGAAAGGAGGAGGGCTCAACTTAAAGAGGTAAAGGGATGTAGCTTTATTGCCGTGGTGTACTGGGACACAGCAGTGCCAAAGAGAGGACAAGAATCACAACAGACACTTGTCACTTTTGGTACTCACATCATTGGTAACTGATAACACTGACGATGCAAAATCACAGTATTTCAGTGCATTGCTTCTATGGCCAAGATCTTTGTAACACTGAAAGAAAATAATATGCATAAAAATTAACCAGGCCCTCTAGAATACCAACATCTGTGAATTATTTTTAAGGTAAATTGTTTTAGTTACCTTTGCCAAATACACATAATTGTACTTGGAATATCCAGGATGCATTTCTTCAACCTGCATAATGAAATACAGGAAACAACAGAGACATAAATATAATATGATGAGACTAATGTGGTCAACATAAAATTTCCAGTGAAACACAAAGCTTGCTTAAAGATTTAGACTGGTTCCCTGCTATCTGAATACCTCATACCTACGCTCCAGAATCCTTTTAATGCAGTTCAAAAATGTAGACATGTAAAATTCTTATGGTAATGCACAAAAGCTGGAAAATTAGTTTTTGAGACTTTCGTTGAACCCTGGAACTCTCAAACTCTTGTAACAGGATCAAGACAATGAATCACCTCAGATACAAAATCAACAATGTTCCCCCATTTATACCAAGTGGAAGATAATAATAACAAAAAAGTAATATTTTACTCCCTGGTCAAATAACCAAGTGACCATTGCTCACTGTAGGCAACTGTGCAAGAACTAAACCCAGTTGCTTCATACATTTTTTCATCCTTCCCCTTTTCTCCTTTGCTCCTTTTATCTCTGCGTCCACCCTCCTCTTCATCCTGTCCTCTGGAAATGTTTAAATGTTCAAGATGTGTTTAAACATATTTGGGAGCATCTGATTTGTCTCCCTTTGCTCTTCCCTAATATTAACTTTGTCTGGACAGACTCCTCTGATGACCTGCAGAGTTTGATACATGTACTGAAAAACGTATTTCAGCACACACCACAGCAATTACCCCTTTTTGAACATTGAAGAAATGTGCAAATCTTAATGATGACTAAGCACTTTACAAAACATTTGGTAACCAAGAGGCAGTGTCAGTCAAATAGCACATTGTAGTTATTAAGCATTTCAGCGGAATTGATGACTACTGCTACTTCTTAGCCCAAAACAATCACTGGAATTGGTGACACTGCATATTACCAGACAATGAAAAAAATGCACAAAAATGTATCATCAGGCTTAGACAGGAGCAGGAAATCATTTAAAACTACAATTACTTTACAGGACTGGAGTCTGAGCCAAAGTCCACTGATGTTAGTGGGAGTTTTTCCACTGACTTAGTGGGAAGTGACCCTTAAACAGAATAAACACTTGTTCACTAAGGCGGCTGTAGTATAGATGCAGATATGCATTGTCCAACAATACAGGAATTTTTGTTTGTTTAATTTTTAAACAAATTAGGGACATGAAAAAAAGCAAGTTTGATATTGAGGAAAAATGTGTTTGTCCAATGAATCTGAAAAATGGTTCAAGAAGGAAACATATTTACGAAAATGTATTCTTTTGAATGTGTTAAATGGCTTATCCTCATCAGCAACAGAAACAGCAATGACAGGTAAAAGTTGCCCAATGGCAGCTTTAACTTGTGCACACAGTTTTCTTAAAATTGTGAATTCAAAGACAAATGCATGGGAACGTGCTCCTATGTGATGAAGCCATTCATTTTGCTTTATTTTACGTGCTCTTTAATATTTACCCATCTTCCACACACAAGGAAGGCTGTCCCACTGAAAGCTAGAGAATGTAAAGTTTAGATTAAAAAGAGGAAACTGCTACAGTGTCATCGTTTCCCATTGAAATTGCATAAAAATCATTCTCTCTTATGCAAGTCCCTTAAAAATGAGCTTAACTTAAGAATTGTTCGCTAAGGTTACTTTTGTCTCAAAGGCATCTGTAGTTCTGATGTTAAATCTGATAGCAACTAACCTGGGAGGTTACTGAAATTATTAGAAAGAGAAAAAACAAATGAGTAGTGTTACTCCCTCTACACCCTACCAACTTAAAAAACTTCAGGGGGTAGCCGAGTTAGTCTGTGATAAACTTAAAAAACAACAAATGATCTGGTAGCACTTTATAGACTAACAAAGTTATTACAGATACATGTGATGGAACCTGGAATTTAGATCTGCTGATTTGTTCAGCTGATCTCTTTCAAACAGTCACACAGAGTATTTAGTAAATAGATACTCAGGAAAACTATTGGATAGGCTCTACCTTAAGGAAATTCTGCAAAGCTTCTTGTACTGTTGAAGTTGGTGGAGTCCCAAAAAGAGTAGCAGCTACTTTCTTTTCAATCCAAGACAACTGTGCTACCTATAATAAAATCAGAGAGGAAAAATACACTTAAAGCTCACTTTTCAGTTGTAGAGCAAAATATTGCCTTGTATTACGGCATATGTATACAATTCAGTGTGCAAAGAAACACCAGAGGTCTTTAATAGAATATTAAATAGAATATTTTTGCTTCACTGTCTCAAAGAGTCATCTTTTATACAAGCATTGAATATTTGATGTCATTTAAAGGATTTTTTAATAAATCCCTTTTTACTTTAAGAATACAATGTACACCTCATGAGAAATTCAATGCAAAATACTGATTGAACTAATATAGGATTATCACTGGATAAGAAGATTAAAGTTCAGGCCAAATATAAACCCATATTAGCTTTTAAAATGCCAGATCTGAAATAAATAGTAATGCTCTTCTAAGACAGATTCATCTTTTGAGCAGAGGTGTGACACAGATCTCTCTACGCAGGTGCCCAGTTATCTTCTTGAATTCTTCCAACGGCATGTACCAAGAAGCCTCTCATTTCCCAGGAATCCAGGCTGGTGTAAAGGAACCTCCTGGAGTTTTCTTTACTCTGTGCTGCCATTGTCACTCTATACACTGTATACTAGGGCTACGCAACATGCGTCCCACGGTGCAATTTACATGGAGCTCAACACATGGCCCATGAGTGGGAGCCAAAACAAGAAAGTAGTCAATATAATGGTCTTCTCTTGATATGCATGTTAGTAATTAAACTCCTGGACTGCCATTGCTCATTAAAAGTGCTGTCATCTGGCTGGAAAGCGGGTAAATATTGCATTTTATTAATATCAGCAGAACTGACTTAAATGGGGCCTGCGTGTTGTGCAGTTTTGCCTTACTCTTTCTATTCTTGCCTGTCAGTGTGAAAGAAGCTAGTTGCATATATTTGCATATATATATTTGCACGTACAGGCAGTCCCCGAGTTACGCGGATCCGACTTATGTCGGATCCGCAGTTACGAACGGGGCCCTTCCTCTCCCTGGTCTCCAGCAGACCAGGGAGAGGAAGCAAAGCGGCGGAACACGGGGGCAGCGGACAGGGCTGTCCGCTGCCCACGCGCTCCGTGGCTTGGCTCTGCTTTGCCCCCCCGTCCCCCTGGTCTGCAGACCACGGGGACGGGGAGCAAAGCAGAGCAAAGCCGTGGAGCACGCTGCCCGCGTGTTCCTCCGCTTTGCTCCCCGTCCCCCTGGTCTAAAGACCAGGGAGACGGGGAGCAAAGCAGAGCAAAGCCGCGGAGCCCGAGGGCAGCAGGACAGCCACGGCGCGTCTGGGCTGTCCCGCTGCCCCCG